AAGGCCTCTACTCCCATTCATCCTGATTCACAAACAAAATGTAATTCTTGTAATGACTGCTCTCATCCCGGGGAAACGAGAGCCTGGAGCTGCAGCAAGGAGGGAAATGAGGCTCTGAGCTGAGGCACGGAGCCTGAGCGTCAGCAGCTCTGTTTAGGGATGCAAAACAGCAGCTCTGGAATGCAGAGCTCTGCCACAAGCCTTAGATCAAAATGGGGACAATTAATAAGAGCAGCCTGAAACTTCTGAAAATAAATCCGGCGTAATCAAATACTCACCGCTACACAAATTAGAGGAGGCAAGCTGAGAGCAGAATATCAACACATCATTTCTTCAGGAGCCTTCGAGTTTCTCAGCTGGTTAAAGAACCCCAAACCCCGACTCACTGCTCTACACAAGCTGCTCTTCTACTTACTCTCTGAAATTCTCTGCTGATAAAATAATTTTAATGGATGCTGGCAGTGAGCAAACCCAGTCGTTTTGCCACTTGGGTGAGTAACTTACTCTGCTTTACATCTCTGGGAAAGAGAGAGAGAGAGCTTGAGATTGATCTTACAAGGCAAAAATATAATATAAATGGCAATTATTGTCATAATCCAAGTCTTACAAAAGGGACTGACCTCTGACTAAGCACAGGGCTGGCAGCCAGATACTTCTGAATTCTACTCAAGGCACACACTGATTCACACTGACACCTTATCTGTCTAACCCTAACCTTCCCTACTTCCAAAATCTGGGTTTCCTGCTATTGTTGCAATTCTACAGTAACAAGGCAGGAATTCAAACTCTGAGCCTGGATTCAAGGGCAGAATGAGGGATCAGCAGGACTAACAAACACAGAGAAAAACTGTAGTGACAGCTGAGTGCTGAAGCAGGGCCCAAAGGCCAAACCTATGCCAAGAGCAAGGAGGAGCTCTTGGATTTGGGAGCCAAAGACTAAACTTTGGATATATCAGCTCTGTAACAGCTCAAAAAGCAGGACTTGGGTGCTTTAGTTACAGTAAACCTCATTAATACACTGAAATCGTGTAATCCATGTGAAGAAAAGTCATTTAAAAGTCATTTAAAAGTCATTTAAAAAGTCATCAATAAAACTGAGACATGGGTCTGCCCTAATCACCAGACTGACCCATCCCTGGAAGTGTCCAAGGCCACGTTGGATGGGACTTGGAGCAGCCTGGGATAGTGGAAAGTGTCCCTGCCCATGGCAGGGGGTGGAATGGGATGAATTTTAAAGTCCTTTCCAACCCAAACCATTCTGGGATTCCAACCCAAATCACTCTGGGTTCTATGATAATTCATAATTTTTACCCATCAAGATTACAAGTGCTGCCTTCTGCTTCCTCCATTTAATTTCAGGCAGAATCTCAGAACTCTTCTCCATTAATTCTGCCACCTGGGCTATCTAAATACTCCAATCACAAGATCCCTGAGGCAGGGAAGTGACACTACACTAATTTTTGTGACCAAGAGCTCACAGAGAGGGGCTGGATTTTGGACAAGTCCAAACAACTTGTTCAAAGTCACACAGGAATTTTCCAAGAAGACAGAACAAGAGCCTGGCCAAACTCTGAGCATTTTCTCACCACACATACAGGGTCCATCTATAGCATCACACATGACAAGGTGCAGGAAAACTTTCAAGCAAAGCCATCACCAGGATTTCCACCACCTCTTCCACATATGAAGAAAAAGAGACATTCTGAAGTATTTCAGGCACCTTCATTCTCCTTCAGCTTCTACCACCAGCACTAACAACTAAAACACTTCCTTAGAAGAGAAATTAATTACTTCAGAAAAGTAAAATCAAAACCCAGCAAACAGTTGAACCTCATCTATCCCTGTTTTTGTGCTTAACTACAAAGCAAATTATTTTCCACTAGGAAAATAGTTTACAAGTGCAGAATTACTGGCATAGCCTTAGTGAAGACAGAGATTACACTTGGAGAACTCAGGAATAGATAACAGTGTCTCCTTGAAGAAAATAAATCATAACAGCAAAAACCATGGGCTTCTGGCCACTGCTGCTTCCATACTGGAGTTTTATTTTAGTTAAAAGCATTTCAGAAAGAAATGAATATCCTAATTAATGCTCTTAAAGCAACAAACATTTCTTTGTGTAACCCAGACCCAAAGCAGAGAAATTTCCTACATGACAGACAAGACCCAGTCTACATTTCACACTGCCAAGGCCACCACTGACCCATGTCCCCAAGTGTCACATCCACACAACTTTTAAATCCCTCCAGGGATGGGAATCAACCACTTCCCTGGGCAGCTGTGCCAAACCCTTTTGAGGAAAAAAAAACTTTACCATTCAACAAGATTTTTTTCTTTAGGTCATTTTTGCTGTGAAATCATGAATTAACTCATCTGGTTTATTTTAAAGTAAAACCAAGGCTCAGGCAGGACATTGTTTCAGTTAAAGAAGCTAAAAAAGCCAAATGAATGCTCCCACAGTCTATTTACACAATACCTTGTCACCGAAGACAAAAAGGAGAAAATCAGCTGAGTTTTCTGTTACCTGAGTTGAATTAACCTGTTTTGTGTCACATTTTAAGGACACTGGACAGCTACAGCTCAGCCTGTGGTGATTTTCTAAGCCACTTCAAGTCCAGTGCCTGCTCTTCAATCTGTGCTGACTTGGTGCAGTTCACACTCCTGCTCTTTTCTTCCTGCTGCTTTTCCTAAACGATGACAAGGTTTCAATCCAGTCCTTCTCCATCTGCATTATTCACCCTGATTTTCTTTTCCTCACTCCCCACACACCCCTGCCATTACTGGCAGTTAAATTCCTAAGCACTGGCCTGGTAATTCAGGTAAATTTGAAGTAATGACAGTGAAACTGTCTGGTTCTATCAGAAATCATACTTTGAGGGATGTAAAACATACTGATGGTCATAGCTCACTATTAACACATATTAATTAATCAATATGGACTACAAAGCTCCAGTAATTACTCCTATATTTATGGGGAGCCCAATAGAGATAAAGCAGTGTTGGCTACAGGACTTAGTTTTAGATAAATTCTTAATTCCTGTGAGGCCAAGATCAAGAGTTCTGTGTTCACATCATGCCCCAAACTCCTCTCCAGCACTGACTCTCATCCCACTAAGGGTAAAAATGAGGCAGTGAAATGGTAACTGCACCCAGGTGACTCCTACTCTTAGAAGTAACCCAACTACTCTCTTACCATGGCAGTTCTGCAACTCTTCAATCTTAATCACTACTTAAATTCAAACTTCTAAAATTTTTTTAAGGCTCCATTTTCTTCTTTCCCCTTCACAATCCCATTTACCCTTTTTTAAAGATTTCTGTGGTTTAATCTGGAAACTTTCTATCTAAATGGGTCATCTTGGCCCATTTCCTTTAATTTAATACTCTCTAATCCTCTCCAAATAGGTTCCCCCCAGTTTTTCCTCAGTCAAAAATTATTCACCTCTACTTCTACAGCATCTTCCACAGCCATATTAACTGTACATACATTGGAATAAATCAAGGAAGCTGCTACTGCTCCAGAAAAATGCACAGGAGCAAAACATGACTGAAATCAAGCTAAAACCCAGGAAATTCAACCTAAGCAATTCCCAGTCTGGAAATTTCTGGCAAAAGCCTGACACAAAGCTGTGAGATGTCCTTGTGCTCACTCAAAACACAGAGGAGCTCTGAGGTCACCCAGCAAACTCAGAATTACTGGAATAACAAAGATGCCCAGGGTGATGTGGCCTTACCTCCAGACTTCTCTCCTGCTGTGAAGCAGATCCTTACAATTTCAAGTGGTGATTTTAATACTGAAATCCAACATATTTTCAGCTAAATAGGAAGAAGAGGAGGTGGCTCAAGGGACTGGTAGCAAAGTAGGAAACCACCAGTTTTGAACAGAACACTAAATCACCAGCAATAGAAAATCACTAATTAATGGCTTTTTGAAATCCATTGGAGCTTGGTTTCCAACACTAAATCCCTGTCAGTCATTATTTTTTGGTGTGACTCCTTCTATAGAAAGCTGTGACTGCACTGCCACTTGCACTATCACTGTCCAAGGATAGATCTTCATCCTTGAAATAATCCACCTGGGAAAATGTGCTGCATTCACAGCAGCACAGTTCCTTGCTACTTATCCTGCAGAAAAGGTTTCTCTTCCCAGCTCAGTCTGACAGAAGGAACAATCTGAAGTCAAGAGGTCAAAGTATCTCAGGAATCTGATTGCAGGGGACAAGCATTTGGTTGTGCCTGTAACAGGGATGTTGAGAACAGCAACACAGGACTGGCCAGTGAGAGGTGAGTGAAAGCACAGTGCAGGTCAAACTTTTCCTTTCAGCCTCACAAGCTTCAAAATTTGAATTAATTTGCTTATTTATTGAAGAAACAGCATGGAAACCAATTAAATTGAAGATATATGACAGAAGTAATTAAAAGGAACAAACTGATTTCAAATTGCACAATGAGATTTGGACAATCTCGACTGGCACTGGGGTTCAAGATACTCGAGTTGCTTGGACCAACACATCCAGCACCAGGGTTAGGTGAGGTGCCCCAGGTTCTCTGTTTCTGCCAGAGGCCACTAAATTGAAGGTGGCTCATCCCTTTCAGCAAATCTAGAGTGGTGTTAAACTCTTTATCCCTCTCATTTGTTTAGCTGCTGTATGGATATCTCTCCTTTACATTGATTTTTCTCTGATCAAGACTGATTTTCTAAGAAAAGCATAATTTTTCCTTCTGTTTCAGTGACAGAAATGTAGAAGCACAAACAACTCATGAACCAGACCAAGTGAGGAATTCACTGTTACTATTCTCTGATTTAAATGTCCAGTTACTTTCCTATTCCTGGTTTAAATGTCTTCCCTGGTTTAAATCTTCCACTAAACCAGGGAAACTCTCCACCTCAGCCAACTGCTCATAATCATTGTAACCACCTCTCTGCTCTTTTTAGACAATTTAACAGAAGAACACCACAAAATTACTTTTAATTGTTATGACTTTCTTCAGCTTGTACTTACACTACTGGAAAAGTTCTGAGCATACTTTACATGAGGATGGGACGCTACAAAGCCTCTTGAGGGTCTTCAGTGTTATTCACCATTCTGTAAAACACAAGGAAAAAAAACAAGAACATTAGAGATGTCTGGGAGAGGCAAAGAGATCCAATCACATCATTCTGGATAATCTGTCACTAATCCAGACTCACAGACTTCAATGTACACGGCAGATTCTTACAGAGAAAGTTGATGTCTGGTGTTGTAATCAGTCCAGAGACAAAAATTTAAATTACAATTGATTTCTTTTGGCCACAAGTAAATTAATCTATGCAATCATTTAGCCTTATGACAGTTACCTAGCCTTTTAACTCACAAAAGCTATTAAAAGGATTATTTGGCCAACATCCGCAAAGAGCTCAGGAGACAGGTGCTGTGTTCTGAGGAGGAATGACCTAATAGAATTTTCCTCAGCTATCACTGCTGATGTCTTTCTCTACAAACTAACACGGACTGAAAGTGCTCCAAAAGTCAAAACTATTAACAAGAGGAAAGAGAAAAGCAGGATGTTATATCCAGGCAGAGCAGGGATAGAAAATGAGTGGATACAGCAGCACAGGGATAATTTCCTTTGCTCCACCTGTAACATCAGCAATCGTGGATTGCTGATCCATGGAGAGCAGTCATGGATGGACAAATCTTGGCTTTTCTCAGTGGTTATAAGTGCTCCAGATATTAGAGAATGACTCTTCCTCCCCCAGTACCTGCTGAAGATGTTGTGGAAGAACTGCACCTCTCCCAGATGGAGCCCACTGAGCACACAGGGATGCAGTACAGAGCTGGTTAGGCTGGAAAAGCCCTCTAAGATCACAGAAGCCCAGAATGATTTGGAGTGGAAAGGACCTTAAAGCTCATCCAGTGCCACCTCCTGCCATGGACAGGGACACCTTCCACTATCCCAGATTGCTCCAAAGCCCCATCCAGCCTGGCCTTGGACAATTCCAGGGATCCAGGGGCAGCCACAGCTTCTCTGGGCACCCTCTGCCAGGGTCTCACCACCCTCACAGGGAAGAATTCCTTCCCAATATCCCATCCATCCCTGCCCTCTGGCAGTGGGAAGCCATTCCCTGTGTCCTGTCCCTCCATCCCTTGTCCCCAGTCCCTCTCCAGCTCTCCTGGAGCCCCTCTAGGCTCTGCAAGGGGCTCTGAGCTCTCCCTGGAGCCTTTTCCAGGCTGAACATTCCCAGCTCTCCCAGCCTGGCTGCAGAGCAGAGGGGCTCCAGCCCTGGAGCAACTCCATGGCCTCCTCTGGTTTCACTCCAACAGCTCCACATCTTCCCTGTGCTGAGGACCCCAGAGCTGGACACAGAATTCCAAGTGAGGTCTCACAAAGGAGGAAAATCACCTCCATCAAGACCATGAGTTAAACTGTTACCCCAGCACTGCCAAGGCCACCACTGGCCCATGTCCCCAAGTGCCACATGCACGCTGCTCTTCAATCCCTCCAAGGGATGATGATATCATCTCTATGTGTTTTTTTTCCTTTTTTCCTCCATGAAAAAACTGATGAACTTTCAGGACCAAAGGCTGGGCTGAAAGAGCTTTCCCAGAAGTGGCAGCACTCAGCTTTTGGCCACCAGCTTTCCTGGGAGCCTGTCCATAAGAGCCTTCTCCCACCCACTTGTGGCCAGGGAAAGCTCTGGGTGTTTCCAGGGAGGGGAGGTGCTGACAGTTGGCTGCTGCCCTTCCAGAACAACTCATTTGGCCCTCACTGAAGTCTTGAGCTGCCTCTTTCTCTCCAGGAAAAGAGGTCACCAAGATGAATGGTCCCAGCAGACCCTCACAGGCCACGTTCTGTGAGCTGGGAGAGAATCAGTGACACCAAACCACTGATGGATGGAAGAGCCAAACACCCAGGTCCCTCCCTGTCAACCACCCCAAACCTTTTCGAGAGACTCCCCCACCAAACCCCTCCTCTGTTAAATCTCTTAACTGCATTTTCAACATATTCCCCGAGGCAGTCACAAAAAATATGAGATCATGCTGCTGACTTCTTGCCAAATTTTAATACAGAGAGCTGTTTTGTTTTCCAAAGAGGAACAAATTAGACTTAAATATATACAAACTTTCTGAAGGTCAGAGGGGCTAATGATAAAGAACTGGATTCCTCAGAGAAAGATCTGCTTCCAGAGTGAGGAGTGTGGAGGTAGCAAAGAAGAAAACCCAGACAGGAAAGAAAAAAATCACCTTCCATCATCATGAAATGCAGGATTAAAAGTAGAAGACAAAGAGATAAGAGAAACAAAGAAAAGGCTGCTGTAACTCAGGTTTTGAGATGACAAAGGCAGGAGGATGGTATTAGTGATAGCAATGAAAGAGGAAAAAACTGGTATGGACCTGAGATGTTTTAAGAGAAGAGCCATTAGGATCTAGACCAAATTTGGGACATGATTAGAGGAGGAAGACGAGCTTTTCCAAGAGACTCCAGATCTGTGAGTGCAGACAGAGGACGACAGCATTTCAGCAGAAATAAACATCAGCAAATCCACGAGAAAATAGGGCTAATTCTCTGGTTTTGCTACACTAAAGTGTCAGGCAGGTTTATTACACTCAGAATGCAACCACAAACTGTCCCAGACTAAGTAAGGAAGGACAGGGAATGCTCAAATCTGCCTTGGGAGCAGGAGTGCTGAAAGGAAACCCAGCTCCAGAGAAAGGAGAGGAAGCTGGTGCTTCCTCTGGCTGCTGCCAGCCCCGAGCGGCCGCTATTGAAAAGGGACACAAACAGTCTTTGACTCCACGTTGGTCTAAAGTTCAGTGGCACAGAAATACCTTCCCCACCCCCAGACACATGTGAGAAGTTGCTTCAATGCTTTTGTCACTTTAAGGGCACATCAGGCAGGGAACGAGCAAATCCTTCACTTAAAATCTGAGTCAAAACAATTCAATGCTGACCAACATAAATTGCATCAGCAATAAATCCTGACTCTGAATCGTGACTCAATATCCCTCTTAGCACAAACTAAAGCACCAAAGCAGTCCGAGCACAGCAGCCAAGGCAGGTGTCACCACTCTTTGTGGTGATATTGGAGTAAGAACTCACAAACCTTTGCCCTTTTCGAATTATTCATTAAATAAATTATCTGCTAACCCAGGGAAAACACAACCAGCTCCCATTCTTATTTCTGGTAGAGACAATAAAAAAAAAAAGCCACTATTAATATGGAAATCATGGCTGCAGTTGTAGAATCAGATGTAATGAACAATCTTGTCCCCAGCTTAAGTTGCTATAAAGGCAGCTTAAATTTACAATGGATGAGTCTTCATGGCAATCTGCTTTTCAGATATTAAAAATCTCATTTTCTCGGTGCCAAGGACAAGTGGAAGTGTGAAGCACTGGAGTATCAACTCTGCATTTGTCTCACTTGACATGAAATCATTCTCATTTTAGTTCTGATTTTTAATACATTCTTGGGATCCCCTTCAGTTTTCTTCATTTCTCACTGTGTGCAATTAAATGTTTTGAAGTAGAGCTTGCCCTGATCCACAACACCCTGCAGAAGCAAGGAGAAAGTCACTTGGTAAAGATGAGGCTGATATCACTTATTTGGAAAAGAAACTCATTTTCTCTTTTAATTTCTGAGTGACTCACATAGTATAAAAATAAAAAAAAAAAAAAAGCCATCACTTTGTATTTCACTAATACCTTCCTTGGTGAGTTCTTCAAATGGGCTTTACAAATAACAAACTAAAAGCTTTTGTCCTTGGGGAAGACAAACATCACCATTTTGACATAAGTAAAACACGAACAGAGGGGCAGAAATCTTGGCTTAAAGCCACCCAGGGCAGTATCAGTGGCTGAACACAGCAGAGGCCCCAGCACTACAATTGTCACATCATCCCTGAAACACAGAACCACCAAGGTCTAGAAATTCAGCCCCAAGAACAAAGTTCTACCACTGCTGAACTCACAGTAAAGGCAAATCCCCAACTCCATGCATAATTACAAATCAATACTCTCCTAGAGGCAGAAAAAAAAATTAAAACTTAGGTATTTTACTCAATGCACAGCTTAAGGTGTGTAATTGTGAGGTTTTCTGTGCACCTCTGTGCACACATGTCCATGAATATGTGCTGGGGAGGTTCAGGCTGGACATCAGGAGGAATTTCTTCATGGAAAGGATTGTTAAACATTGCAATACGAACAGGGAGGTGGTGGAGTCCCCACCCCTGGAGGTGCCCAAGGCACAACTGATGTGTGACTCCATGCTGTAGACTGGGTGACAAGCATCTGTCAAAGGTGGGACTCATCCCAACTGGATGATTTTGGAGATCTTTTCCAACCTAAATGATTCAACTGGCTTCTCTACACTGAGGCCAGTGTGAAGTAAAGCTGTTACCTGGTTTAATTTCTGTCCCAGGACATCTTGCCCCAAAACCAGAGAGCAAGGATCCATCCACCCTGGCTCATTCTGGTGATTAATCACCCTCTCCACAACAAATCTGTACTTGATTTCTACTTTGAAGATGCCTGGCTTCACATTCCAGACAGTAGCCTTCCTGTGCCAGCTCCAAGTCCTTTATTCCTGGGAGATGTTCAGACAGGCTTTTATTTACACAAAAGTCCAGGTACTGCATTTGTATCAACACTTAAATTCATCTGGGTACGTGCACAAAAGTAGGACTAGTGTCCAAAATACTGGAGCTAATCTAGGACTCTCTAGCCCACTTTCCCAAAATAGGCATATTAGGGGGAAAAAAAATGTGAAAAAAGCTCTTCCATGTGACTGGAGGATGTTTTATTTGTGCCCTGGCTAGGAACCTTCTCCAGGCACTGCCAGCTCCTGAGCACACCCCATGGCTCGGTGACGTGCAGCATCCAGTTCCACGTGGAAATCCTTTTCTCCAAGCTCCCTGCTCAAGCAGGGCCACCAAAGCCAGTTGTTCAGGACCATGTCCTGAGTATCTTCAAAATTTAAGACTTCATTTTCTCACAGCAACCTGCGCCAGTGAGTGGAAAGCAGCAAAAGATTACTTTTATGAACACAAAAATCCTTGGAAAAAAATGCTCAGAAGTCACCTCCAGTCATTGCTGTTCTCATTCTTAC